GTGTCCCTTGGACGTTGCGTTGAAGCACCTTCGAGCAGCTACCAGGTCACCTTGAATAGTGGCGACCCGTGCCCTCTTGGTGTAAAACTTCATCTTTAAGTGGACGATGGAGGGCATCACGGTCAACTCTTCCAGTGTCGGCCTTCCAAGAATGCAGTTGTAGAGGGACGGGCAGTCAATGACGAGGAAGCACACCTTGACCTGCCTGATAGTGGTATCCTCTCCGAACGTGACCATAAGCTCGACGTATCCCCGAGGCTTGGACGTCGAGTCGTTAAAGCCCTGTAGGTCTGACCCCACGTATGGTGAAAGGTGAGAGTCATCGAGCTGCAGGGTTCTGAACAACTGGATGTACATCACGTTGATGGAACTTCCCTCGTCAACGAGGACGCGATGTACGTCGAAGTTGGCCATTCTCACCCTTATCAACAGAGGGATGGCCGAATTTGGGGCCCCTCCGGCGAGCTCCTCGAGGTAAAAGGTGATTGGCTCTGATCTGCCTTTCACCCTTTCGAAGGTCACCGTTTGAGGGGTAGCCGTGTCGACCAGCTCATCCAGCTTCCTCTTAGCTGAATTTATGGTCAAATCATTAAACCCTCCACCATTGATGACCATGGCGGATGGGAAGTTTTCCCACCTGCTGTGCGTAGACAGAGGTTCTTGCAGAAGTTCGGGGACGTCGAAGTCCTCGGGTCTTGTGACGGAGAACGTGGTTTGGATGGGAACCGACTCGTCAGATGGTCGGGCATCCTCTTCTACTTCCCTCGTCTCACGGGCATCCCGACGAGGAGCGTCGTTTTATCGATATTGTGCAAATTTTCCCCCTTTTATGAGGGTCTCGATGGCGTCCTTGAGGTGGACGCAGTCTTCGATCAAGTGCTCGTGGCTCTGGTGGTACTAGCGGTATTTGCTTAGGTCTACCCCCGGTTTGGCAGGAGCGGGGCGGGGACGTTTGACACCGGCGTCCTTGAAGTTTGTACTTGCGCACTCCGCTGAGATGCGCTCGCAGGAAACCGTTAGCGAAGTGTATTCGGTGAACCTCCCTGAGGGCCCCCTTTATTCCCGAGCGTCTCGGGGTTTATCGTCCCTTCTCTTCTCTCCAGTTCGTCGAGGAGGGGCGATGTCTTGTCGCAGATTACTGTTGGATCTGCGATTTCTGGGGTCTCAGGCTCTGTTAGCCGCTTCTCTCTCCTCGTAGTCCATATAGGCCCTGGCCTTTTCGAGGATGGCATCAAACGTCCAGGGTGGTTTGATGCCTACGGCTTTTTTGAATTCGGTGCCGGGGAGGAGCCTCCTCTCGAGCAGGTACCTCTTCATATGGTCCGTGCAGGGAACCTGGATGGCTTCCCGGTTGAAGCGGTCAATGAATTCTCTCAAGGTCTCATCGTGTTTTTGGACGATGGCCTCGAGCGCTGCTTCGGTCTTCGGGTGTCATCGCGAAGCAGTGAACGAGCTGATGAACTGGTTCTTCAAGTTTCGCCAAGAGGTAATTGACCCTGGGGCGAGACCTTTGTACCAGTCCATAGCCTTTTTCCTCAGAGTCGTGGGGAACAACCCGCACTTGATTGGTTCCCCGACATTGTGGTAGTGCAGCATGGCTTTGAATCCGTCTATATGGTCGACCGGGTCGGCGATGCCGTCGTGCTCCTTTAAGTGGGGAGGCTTCTCCGTGCCCAGGGGAACGGGTGCCTCCATGATAGCTTGTGACAAGGGACCGCGAGGGTCGTCCTCATCACTCCGTTCGGGAGAGCGAGATAGAGATTCGATGTAGTGGCAGTCACGGTGGCCCTGGTCGCGCAGAGCGTTCCTTGGGCGGTATGACGGTTAATGGTTTCCCCTGTGTCTGTCTCCGGGGGGTCTTCGTTCTTGCCGCGAGGGGCCATAGTCGCGTCTTCTTGTGTCGACGAGCGGTTCCCTCTCCAAAGGGGGTCTTCGCCCGAGTGGTCGGGGCAACGGGCTTCTAGAGATGTCCCGATTCTGTCTCTGCGGGGGAGATTGGGGACGTTCGTCCGCTTGTCGAGGGGGAGGAGATTGAGGTCTCATGTGTCTTCTTGGGGGCCTTCGATCGTCCTCGAGCGCTCTCAGTCTTTCCCCCTGGACGAAGATTAGATAGTTGGTTTGATTGATCGTCGCGAACAGTGCCCTGGTCGTGGCATCTGCCCCGGTGGGGACGGGGACCTCGTGGAATTGGACGGGTGGATAGTTCAGAGGAGGTGGTCGATCTTCTTCAAGTTGAGGAAGCATTGATGAAGAAGAAGCAGTGGCTCCGTCCCTATAGTTAGAAGGTCCGGGCATATTGACGCCAGGGACCGTGTTATGGCCGGCGATACCGGCATTGTCGAGGCCAGCATTGTTATCGGTAATGTTGTTGTTAACGTCGATGACACAGACTTTCTGGTTGTCCGGAGTCTGGTCAGCCATGACAGTCGAGGATTGTTTAGCTTTGGTCTCAAGTGAATAGAAGACGGAGAAGCTTAGTTTCCCACAGATGGCGCCACTGATCTAACCTGATCAGAGTTGGACCGTCACAGTTGACTTCGAGCCGAGCTTCAATGAGATGGGGGATACCTGCAAGACACTCTGATGGTAAAGTGAGAAGCGGAATGAGCAAGCAAGTATGAGTTTTAGGTGTGAATGAATGAATACTTGACCCTCTTGTGAGAGGGTATTTATAGCTCCCAATGTTGGGCCAAGGTCCCCGCTATTGGATCACGCAGAGGCCCAATAACGAAAACTGTGAGGGTTTACGTGTGTATGAAGTCCAGCAAGTGGACTCCCCCCTAGTTAACTGCTCCACGAGAATAAGGCTGGACCCGAGATTCCCGGAGGGCAGTTTGGGATGTCTGTCAAGTGGACCACGTCTCCCAACGGTTGGATGGGGAGTTGCCCCACAGTCCTCAATTTGAGCTATCTTTGGGCCTCTCGCTCGTAGGACAAATATAGGCCCAGTCTAGATCACCTTTTTTTTTCAAATATGAACTACCGAATTTTTAAAAAAAATCGATAATATTTTCCATAAATTTTAGAAAATTCCAAGAATTCCAATAAATACAAAATAAAATCTCAAAATTTATGAAAATATAAAGATAATAGTAGTCATTTTGTGGGGTGTCAGGTTTAAATATGAGGGTGACAAGTTAAATAAATCATTATGATGAATGAAGACAAGTTAAATAAATCATTATGATGAATGAAGACAAGTTAAGTGCATAACTACTTTGAATCACAATTTTCATTTTCCCCGTGTGTTCACTAAATTCAAACATGGACCCTACTTAATACCGAAGTAAAATCTAAAATGATACTATAAGGCTTTTGGGGATGATGGCGTAGGACAGGATCTTCCATCCACCCCTTGCATCCAAAATGTGCAAGGCTACATCTGCTGCTTTACCTCCAAGATCAAGTGTCCTTCTCTCTGAAACATACACATAGTTCCCTTCCCGGGGAACCAATATATCGACTACATTAGTGAGGCATCCAACTCGCCAACATCGTTGGATTCACCACAAGAAATGGCGTGCGTTTTCCCCATTGCCTAAATGTGGCCAAAGCAAAGTCCATCTCAGTCCTCCCAGCTAACATCCGATTCACCACTAATGTAGTGTCACTTCCTTTAGTTCATAAATCCAAAGTCTCTCTAAGTTGCTGAAGTGTTGGCTCTAACAAAATCCCATTCACTTCACTCACCAAATGACTTGTCTGATGGCCATGAACCTCAAGCTGGAATCACAACAACTTCTGCGCAAAGGAAATTTGATGCCCCAAAAATATACAACATCGCAGTGGAATGAAATTATGAAAGGGAGATCAAATGGTAGAGTTCTTTTAAGTTTTATTCATAAGAGGATAAGAGAAATTTAAATAAATGAATTAGAATACATATTCAACCATTTTAACACATCTTAGCTGCGCGTAATTGATAAAACAAGGCTTTCACAAGAATATTGAAAGACCTAATCAATTAGAACATGTTTGTGCCAACTCAAAAATGGTTATTCCTTAACCATGCAAGCATATGGAAAATATAGAATAAAGCAGTAACATACAGAACAGCAAAGTTAAGTATGAGTCACTATTACTTATTTTACCTGCAATGAATTATCCGGTGATTATATCTTCTATTCGTCGAACCAACTAATTAAAGGTACTATAACTGTAACTGTTTCAATTTATATACATCACAAAACTTTTAACCAACTAATTAAAGGTAATATAACTGTAACTGTTTCAATTTATATACATCACAAAACTTTTAACCAACTAATTAAAGGTAATATAACTGTAACTGTTTCAATTTATGTACATCACAAAACTTTTAATCAACTAATTAAAGGTAATATAACTGTAACTGTTTCAATTTATGTACATCAAAACTTTTAACCAACTAATTAAAGGTACTATATCGGTAACTGTTTCAATTTATATACTACCTCCGTTGTTCTTTTTTATAAGAGACAACTCACTTTTTAGGTTCATTGAATAGTCAGTGTATCTAATCTATAAACAGACCAAATACATTGGTTATTCAATTGAACCTAAAAAGTGACTTGTCAATTGAACCGATATAGTACATCACAAAACTTTTAAGGCAGTCTCCAACATAAATGTGTCATCACAACTTCAGCTATCTTGCCTTAGGAACAACAAACATGTGTAATAGAAAAAAGATATATATATATATATACCAACGTTCCATTAAGCAGAGAATTCTTAGAAAAATTATACAGACAACCATTCAGTAAATTATCCATTCATGTCACAGCATCAATCTTCATCCAATTATGTGTTTTCATCACTATTGGAACTATCACTGAATAATCGAGACGTTGAGATTGAGTTGTCAAAAATAAAATTGAGATATTGGGTGATGAGATGTTAAGCATATCTACATAAGGTTGAAGGAGAGATAAAACTCACATATCAATGAATTCTGCTTCAGTGTCTTTAAAAGATCAATTTGAAAATAAAAGGAAGAAAACATCCAAGATACATCAATGTTAACCACGTCTTCCCCTCCCTCTTCCTCTTCCTCTACCCCTTCCTCTACCTCTACCTCTACCTCTTCCTCCTCTTCCCGTTTGATAGCTGTCATCAGAATCCTTTTCATATGTGAACATATTCATTCGAATATTATCTGCTTCAGATTCATGAGGACCCCTTTGTACCTAATCAAGACATAGGACATTGAAACAAGTATTGCAAAGGTAGAATACTGAACAGGAAGAAAACCTGAAACAGCTCAATTCACAAACATCCCTAAAAGAGATTAAACTACAAACCTGAGAATGTTCAAGGTTAAATTGATTCTGAAGCTGCCTAGCAAGATACTCATCACGGCTAATATCTAGAGCCTCGTCATTATAAGAAGGCTTTACTTGGGTCTTTCTTTTTTCAAATTCTTCAAGAGTAAATACAACTTCATCTTCTTCTTGATCTTTTCCCCTATGTCTCCGACCCCTAGAATGCCGACCATGCTGATTCGGTTGATTCAGTTTCTGAAGTAACTTTTGGGCAGCTGCTTGATTTTGCACAGGAACAGATTCCACAACTATAACAGAGAACAAAAAAGTATTAACAAAATTGATTTCAGAGTTTAAAGTATCATTAAGAGATATTAGAAATTACTTTGTCTACTTTTAGATATAATTTATGACAGCATTTGATGCATGCAGACAATTCCACTTGGTGGGAAAAGGCATGACAGTTGTAACTTGTTTTCCACCTATTCTATATTCCATTTCTATATTTTGATAAATCCATTCATTCTCGATGACTTCACATCTGTATAAAGGGTTTTGAATAAGCTATGTCAATTTTATCTTGTCAGTCCTCTATCACATGAAAAGCTGATACCATTCCAAGCAACAAAAATTGATAGAAGAAACAAATCAATCAAATGCAAATGAAACTTGTTTTTTCTGGATTTAATTTTAGATGCACCTCAGGATTAATGTATCATTTATTTATACAAAAAAGAAGAAAAGGAATCACCTTCTTTTGGCCTTGTACTCGAACTACTAGGTTTGTCTTCAGCTCTTTCTGGATAAAAGGAAAAATTATATCAATTTCAGATGCAACTATCTCTTTCTGGATTTAACTTAAAATGCACCTCAGAAGTTTACATCCCTAGTCATTTATAAAATCAAATTAAAATAAGCAAGAGAAGATCATATACAAAGCCATCACCTTTTGGCCTCAACCCTGAACTACTAGGTTTGTCTTCAGCTCGTTCTGGAGGCAATTTGGATCTTAGATTTGTGTCCATAATATCTTCTTTCAGATTTCGGTCTTGCTGGATACCAGTTGGCCTCATCTCATCTCTACCAGTACCAGCAATGGGCTTCCTACTTCTAGAGTTCTCATCTGCATAACCTGCAGGAGTTCACATTTGTCAACTCTAAGCAAACAATGTTTGTGTTTTGAATTGCAAATCAATCTTGTATTTGAATGTAAATTTTTATGTAAAAAAAAAAACAAAAGAACAAAATAAAAGTAGAAAAAACAAGTAGTCAACCCTAGGGGTCAAAGATATGAAAAATAACTGATGCCACTTCTACACCTCAGCCCCCTTCCTAAGTTCCACATTACCCAATACCCACACCTGTCACAAATTCTAATTAACTTCTCTCTAAAATGGATCACTATTTTTATTCCTCCTCCTATCAATAATATTAGAAGGTCCAACTTGTCCCATCAAATGCCTCCAATTCCTTTTGGCTATCATAACTTCCCCTAGATTAAAAGCCTTGTTCTCAAGGTTACTCAAAAAATTGACCTCTAATGAGCCTTGAGTGTTCCCATATTGTTTCTCCTCAACTGGTTTCCCTAACCACTTTATTCTTCTGCATTATGGACTGATGTACTGCGGCTACGTTCTGCTCAGTGTAAGCATTTTACCCACTGCTTGTGCTGCTCAGAAGAAAAGCGATGATGATAAACTCTAAGCTACTACATTTTCAGTTTGTCCATCAATTATGGGATGAAATGCTGAAATAATTTTCCAGACAGAACCCTGCTATTAAAATAATTCAGTACAAAACAACTTGTGAATGTTGGGAGCCTGTTATCACTTACAATTGAGCTACGGATCCAATGTATCCTCACATTCTTAGCAAAAAAAAAACGCAACTGTTCGAGCAGAAAAGGTGTTGCACAATACTACAAAAAGCCCATATTTTGATAACCTGTTCACAACCACCATTATAGAATCATAACCCATTTGATTATTGCAAGCCAATAATAAAATCCATGCCATATTCTCCAAAATTGCTCTTAAAATTTTGAGTAACTGGAAAAGCTCGGTCGAAAACGTAGTTATGTATTTTTGTTGTTAGAAAACTCCAAATTGAGCCACAAACTTGATTATGGTTTGCATAATTCCTCACCATAACTAGTTAGAAACAAGACAGTGCAAGTTTTATCAACTCCAGCATATGCACCCACTTCCGACAAATGAAACTCAGCTCGCAATTTGTCGTTTCTGACCTCATTCTCCTTGCGAGACAGCGTAACCGCTGCCCCATTCTCCTTTCTTGGCATGTATAAATAAGTCAAAGAAATACCCCCAAGCCAATCTTGCAATTGGTGGCTTTGCATCAATTTGGCTCCTATTCCTTTCCTATAACATCAAACTCCACATGGTTTTTTTATCAAACTCGGGTAAGGCAAAGACTGTAGCAAGTCTCTGTTATGACTGTTTGAAAGCCTGATTTGCTGTGTTGTTCCACTGGAAATGCCCTTCTCTTGGATGATTAGACAATGGTTGCTTTATTTTCGTAGTCCCAAATAAATTTTTGATACCTTCCCTACCACCTTAGACTGTCTAGATTGGCCAGGTTAACACAATCTTTACCTTTTCTTGTTCTTTAAAAACACTATTGGCTGAAAATATGTGCCAATGCTGCACTTCTTCCAATTGGCAACTGTTCTCAAGAGTGTCACTCAAATGGTCATGCCAATTCCTACTATATGCCGAAGACTAAAATAGATTGCACAGGAAGCTTGAAAGCAGCATGCTTAGTGGCTTGAAACAATGTGTGTGCATTGTTCAATCCAAAAGGCATAGTCAAATATTCAAAGTGGGCATGATCAGTATAAAGAGCTATCTTATGCCCATCTTCATTGTCTCTGATTTGGTGTACCCCAGTGTATATCCATTTTAGAAAAAGTGCAGGTCGAGACAATTCATCAATTAATTCTCCAAGCACTAAAATGGGTGTTTGTTTGGTACAGTGACCTTGTTTGAGGCCCTCTAGTCAATGCAAACCTCATGCTAACATTTTTTCTTTCCCAATACATCCATTCCACCAATTTCCGATCTCATTTTCCTACAAACCCGGTGTTTTGAAGTGGAGGTAATCCATGTGGCTGTTGAAAAACACATAATAAAACCACTCCGATAGTTGAATTAATGGAAGTGAAGGAGTGCTAAATATCAACTTCCCCATTTTTCCTCATTTACAGCACCCCTAGGGATACAAGCAAAAATACACTTTCTCAGCCAACTTCAATTCTTTTAGCAAGGCTCTGTAACATATGAATCCTAGCCAAAATAGAATTTTGATGTAAGGTAACTTGTTGTCACCTCTTAGTCAAAGAAGATAAATCCTAGCCAAAATAGAATTTTAATGTAAGGTAACTTGTTGTCCCCTCTTAATCAAAGAAGATAACTAATGTCTTCAATTTAGACTTACCCCATGTAGTCTCTAACCAAGTCATCTAGAATATGAACTCCGTGAATCTAAGGTGTCAATTGGTTGCACATGAATCCACAATCACCAAGACATTCTTTTCATCCATTATCGCAAGTTCCTCCTCACACAATCCTTCACCCTCTAAAAATAGTACACTTTTTGCTGTGCATCCGTGGGTGGGTCTGGGGTTTGATCACACTAAGTATTTGCTCTCATCCCATCAGCGTATATACTCTTGATGCGGAAACAAACACTCCCTTATTAGGTAAGATAAAATGGTGTTACACCGGTACTACTTGTGGTAATCAAACCCGATTGTAGTGGATAAGGTTGCGGGGTATCTAAATTACTATGTAGGCTGGAAATTGACTCAACTTTGACTTGGTTAGCTGGTTCAAAGCCTTTAGGCTATGTTTGAATATATTAAAATAAACGGAGTGGAATGGTAAGGAGTGAAGTCGAATGGAGCGGACTGGAGATTCCATTCCCTCATTTAGATGTTTTACGACGGAACAAGATAAGTTTTGCATTCCACCCAAATTGGAAGAAAAGGAAGAAATATGGTGGTAAGTAATGGAATGGAGTTGATACCATTCCATTCCGCTCCATCCGATTTTAACTAAACCAAATAATGGAATTCAATTCTATTCCATCCTGAATATCTCCCTTACAACCTGACAAAGCCCTAGCTAAGATTTGTTGCCCCATTAAAATTTTGATTTCTCGACTTCACTAGAACTTCACTGTGTATATCTTCTTCAATATCCCAAGCCATCTCAGTAGCACTTAAATATGTTTTCCATTTACTCCATCTGTTACTTCATAACCTCATCATCCCCATGAAGCTTTTGAGAATGCTTATAAACAGCCATACAAATCTTCAATCTCCCATATGTTTAATACAATCTAGCAATATTTTCTCCCATGATTCAACTCCTTTTCTAGAACCCATCTTCGTACAAAAATAGAAGCACAAAATAAAAAACAAGTCGCTTGTATTGACTATCACTAAAAAACCTATTCCATAGCAGAGTAGTGAATATAAAATACATCTCCAAGACGCCAAAGAGAGTGATATCCCAATTCTCTACTTATAAGACTTGAAAATTAACCAATGCCCCCTCTACACCTTAGTCCCCTTCCCCCCACAACTATAAAAATTTGTACTAATATATGTAATGACTTTTTTTCACAAGTCTTCCCATATATTGCAGCTCAATGTAATCTACTCCATCATGCAGTCCTAATAAACAAAAAAAATCTATATGGAACTGGCCGTAATAGGAGAAAGTTAAAGGTAAGTAACGATCATCAGTGTAACAATATATAATCACAAATTCAACTATTAATAAACATTGCTTGATTGTGGATACAAGAACAACATGTCCGTTTAAAGAAGCAGTGAATGCACTAGCAAATAAAAAAATAGAGGCAAGATTGTTTTTGTTTTTTACCTGAGATAGATCCAACCTGCAGCTTCACGAATGGAGGAGGACCACCTGTATCACGATCCTCTAGCTGCCTTAAAGATGACCGAGAGAAGCCTGCATATTTTTGATTCATCTGCCATTCTTCATGTAGTGATTGAACAACACCCCCTAATACAGTCAATACTTTGGGATTTAAGCAAGCTATACTGCTACGAACCGGAACTTTATTTTCCAAACGAATCTGCCCAACACAAACACAAGAATCTAACATAAATGGTAAAAGTGATTTAAGAACGTAAAGAACCATGAGACGTTACCTTCGTGCCGGGAACAACATTGTCAGGTAAGAATGGAATGTGAGAGTATTCTATAGCAGTTATCTCGGAGTGACCATCTGTGAGACACAATCTCAGAACGCGTCGACCACTTGAATTTCTTGAAAGGTTATCCACACTGCTCATGGATATGTCCCTCACCGAAGATATCTGTTGAATTGAAACCCATAAAACAAGTCAAAAACTGAATTGCGGAAATTGAAAAAGGGGGTGCAGTAGTAGTTTTACCTGAAGAACTTTGGGTCCCTGGAGGTAAAAAGAAGGGTTACGAAGAAGAGATGGTTCGGGCAAGGATTTGGCTCCGATGGATCTGAGGTCGGAATTGAGGAGCTCCGATTCGACGGAGTGTAAGACGTTGGAAGGGTGATCGGCAAGTGCAGTTTGAATAACGATGATTGCCTTAAGATCGTCGGTGTCTTGCAAATACCAACCCTTATTTCTTAGGGTTTCTATCACCACTGCATTCGAACTCCCCTGCATTTTCACTCTTTCAAATTCACTTCAAAATCCAGCTTCTCTCGGGTGTGTATTGTATATAGGACCAAATACACTTCGAGCATACTATTTTACTTTGTTTAGGTTACTTTCTCCTTTTAGGTCTCTTTGGTTGGGATAAATGGAAAAGATAAGAGGGGGAGAGTAATGCCACGTTTTTTTTGTTTTTTTTTTGTTTTTTTTTTTTTAATTTTTTTTTTTTTCATTTCGAACCTTAATTTTGTCCATAAGTAGAAGAAAAAAAAAAAAATTTAAAAATAAAAATAAAAAAATAAAAAAAATACGTGGCATTACTCTCCTTGTGCCATGTCACTTTTTGGGCAGCCAGATAGAGGGGGCTTCAAAAATCCCAAATTTGAAAACTTTGGGGACTAGAAACCTTGCTTTTAAATTAGGAGGATCGAAACTCCAAAAATCTTAAACTATGGGGTCAAAACTGCATTTAAGCCTTAATAGTTTATGTATTTGGTTTAAATTTTAAGAGGTAGAGAGAATGGAAACGGATGGACTAAAATTTTTTTTTGAGCATTTTCTGTTTTTCTAAGTTTTTTTTTTAATTATAATTATATTTACATATTTAATTTTATTATTTTTAAATATAAATTTAATTTATTAAAATATTAAAAAATTTATTTTAAATAAATTTTATCTTCCTTTTATATTTTTTTGTATTTTTATATTTCATCTTATTATAGCTATATCTTATTATTATTATTATTATATGTTTTTAAGTTTTTTCATTTTAAATATTTTAATATTATTTTTAATTACTATAATGTTTTTATTTATAATAATTTTTGTTAGATTTTATTGTATTCGATAATTTTTATAAAATTATATATTATAATCATTACTTTTTTATTAAAAAAATTATGATATTCTTTGATTGTCAATGAAGTTGTATTTAAATTATAAACAGTAAATATTTTGAGATTTATGGTAAAATTACAAAGATAAAAAAATAATTTAGTTTTAAAATACATTTCTTCCTTTTGTGAATCAAATATATTTGTAAATAAAATGTCTCTCTCCATTTCTCCCGTTTTATATTTTGAACCAAAAAATTATATAATTAAAATTTCTCCCCTACTTTCTCCTCACCTTCCTTCTCCTTGATAAAAATACATCTCTTTCTCTTTTCTCAATTGAACCAAACACAACTTTAAAGTTCATACTATTTGGACTCCTCTTTTATTTTTAACAGTAAATATAGATTTGGAGGGGAAGTTCAATTTAACCTGATAATTAAATTATGTATATTCATATTTAAATTCGGTTATTAAAAATAGATTAATTATTAATATATTTTTAATCAAATCCATATTTTATATATATATATATATATATATATATATATATATATATATATATATATATATATATATATATATATATATATATATATATATATATATATATATATATATATATATATATATATATATATATATATATATATATATATATATATATATATATATATAATAAAAATTAAATTAATGTATTTTAAAAAAAGTTAAAATAAAAAAAAGAAGTTTAATATTTTTTTAACTATCTCTCGCATTAAAGATGTGTTTGTTTCAAATTATAAAATAAGATTCTTGAGAATGTTGTTTACATATAATTTTTTTTTATATTTATTTTTATATCAAAGGGTATGAATCCAATATTCCTATAAAAATAAAGTTTAACTAATTTAACTTTCTAATGATACTCACATTTATTTTTATTTTTATAATTTTTAATTTAAATTAAATTTGTAAACATATCTAAAAAATTCAATTTTTCACCAAACACATACATAAAAAATATTATTTCTAAAAATAATAATCTTAAAAATATAATTCTAAAAAATAATATTTTTTAACTTAAAACAAACACACCCTAAATTTTTATTCTCCCTAAATTTTTATTCTCCCTATGCATAGTTTTCTGTTTCTAGATCTGCACCAACCATTGTCCTTTGTTCATACAACAATACTATACTTGTTTTCATAAATGTGTGCATACAAAAAATTTATACTGTTTCATTTTTTTAGAGTTTCAATCAGATACGTTATTGATTTTCTAATTAACTTCCTCTATGACATTTTCTTTACTTGTAATTTTTCCTACTAGTAAATTAGTAACTCCAAATGAAAAACAGTGATGATTTACATGAAGTTTCAAAGCTAAAATATAATTGTCTATTATTTGGTAAGTCTTTTATTGTAAATTCTCAAAAAAAAAAATCTTTTAAGTGGTTCATGTATAACATGTTATGACACATTTTACTCTTTAAGTTCGCAAGCATCAACAAATAAAGCGGGAAAAAAATTAAAAATAATGAATTTACCATGTTGCTTTTTCACATTTGAGGGTTGAGTATGGAATTTTTTTTTCAATAACAAGTAATGGAAAAAAAACACCTAAATAATCATTTTTTGTAAAATATTACATAAATAATCATATTTTATAATTAGAGTGGAATAGTGCATTCATTCAAAATTTTAAGGGAGACGTTAAATGAGATGACGTCTAGGTGGATCTGATTTGTCCTAAGTTATCTCAGATGGAGTATAAGTGCAATTTTTTTTTGTTAAACAAATAAACGTTTTGTCGTTGCAAATGAAACTTCGATTTTCAATAATAATGAAATGATTACATAATGAGAATAAAAATTACACATTATTTAGTTGTCTTCGGGGATTTGATAATGACTTGTGGTTCCCCACCCGCGTCCTCGCCTTACTCGTGGTGTGTTTCGACAATTTTCCTGTTGCGGTTGGGTTGCGAATTCAATGCGTTCAGGATCCATGAAATTCGTAAGATCACCGTATCTGGAAGTCATGCTTTCAAACAATCGGTTACTCATGCCCTCAAAGTTTGGTTTTGTTGGTGGGGGTGGAGTTCCATCGATGGTCTATAGCACGGGTCGTCTGAATAAGTGGGATTAAAAATAAATGAGTTGTGGAGTTTGATACTCATAATTTTGTTGTGTGTTATGGTGATGTGATGGTTGATGGTATGTTGGGTCGATTAGGGAGTATTCTTCAGGTATGCCCATATCTGGACTAAGGTGTTTGTTCTTGGTATGTTGGGTGAATCGATCACAAAATTCAACTGAAAACACAATAACATCTTGTCTATCTCAAAACAACTTTAAGACAACAAGTCTTTAATGAAAACAACTAAAAAATTCAGCAACATAATGAAAATCAACAATAAAGAAAACATGCGTTCACCTCTCCGAGTGCTACGTATCAGAGCGACAACACCGACTCGGGCTAACGAAGGTAACAACTATCCTTCTTGATTACCTTCATGTTACCAACAGAGGGCAACATTCAAACAGAAGGGGTGGGATATTGAATCATATAATTAGTGTATAATAAACAATATATTAGATCAGATTATATAAAATTACCATTCACAACTTTCAACCAACATCAATCATCACAAATCAATAACACAACAACTTAAATATGCAACACGAAATGCGACTCATTACAATGCACATGCATGTGATACCATTTGAGCAAAACTCCCAACTTAAAAATTTGTCAATTAATAGAGGCGTCAACAAGGCATAAGCCTTTAACTTAATTTGTCAATCTAGGCCAACTTACTGAGCATCAACTCCAACTTGATATGTCATGTATGCGACACAATATGAATATTAGAATAACGACAACAATAGTTACATAGCAACACAACAACAAATCAGTATTGGCCATAGGCCTACAACTTATATTTTGCTCATAAATAGAGGCAATTCAACAAGATACAACATCACCTGTAATTTCACATTTTTCAACAAAAACACCACCCAACGAATCAACCAAAAATTACTATAGATAAACCGCGTAATTATTCGGACTATTTTGACTAAAATCAATTAATTAATTATCGGCCAAAAAGTTCTATTATTTCTACTTTATACTAAATTTCTTATTACGACTCGATTAAATTATTACTACACTGCTATTGAATAGTCTATACTACTGATGTTGGATTTGTCAAAAAAATTTACTAATCTGCCATATAACATTGTCCTACTAGATATATATATATATATATATATATATATATATATATATATATATATATATATATTAGTTTCAATCTAATTGTTACTTTTGTTAATTGTCAAACATGTTACTTTATGCTACTAATTATTAATCTTGTCATTTAGTGCAAATATACTGAAAGTGTTATTGAAGCTACTACCAAATATTCACTAAGTATGTTATACTAAATAATTGATTGAGTCTACTATGTAATTACACAAATTCTTTAATTTCCTTCTACTAAATTTAACTAATATTCATAACTAAAGTATCAATAATTTAGTAAAGATGTATTCTTATTTGGTAAATTCAAATTACCCTACTCACAACTCTAAACGTGTCAGAATTACGCACAACAAATAAAAAGTAACTTTTAATAACTTAAAACAACTCTATTGATAATTTTAACAACACTATTGACAACTCTAACAACCATATTGACAACTCAATTGACAATTATAACAACTCCATCGAAATTGAAAATAACTTAAATTAATTAAATAAACTCAAATATTTAATTCCTAACTATTATACTATTATTTATTATTTTTATTAATATTATATTATTATTAAGATTATATATGAGAAAACTAGACGTATATTTAACTAGGAACATGCCCCTACACTACAGTATATTATAAGATTAATATTAGATTAATATTATAAGAGAATACTATTAATATTATAAGATTATATATTAAATTGGAACATGCCGCTATTGTAATCATGAGAAAGTGTTAATGCTACAGTATACAACACATAGACTACTTATTATCTTCTTTTCGGCTATGGTATACACATATATGTTATGAAATTGAAACAAATAGCACTAATTTCAATAATATATCAATTTCAAACATAAACAAAAACAATTTCAACTTAATCTCAAATATCATTCATCACATACCCTATTATAGAGTCAGAACTCCACCCTTA